GCCGAAATGAAAGGAGTTCCCAACCCTTTATTTATTAGACAAATGTCCATGGTATTTGATTGTGCAAAACCTATAATCTCCTTTGTAACAATATCTGAAGCATTTTCAAACCTCACTGTCGACCAAAAGTTGACGCTGAGATAGAGATCAAATTCAGGCAGCTTGTTTTCTCCATCGTAGTTTCCATACAAGAAGGTAGCTCTAATCAAATTCAAACTGCCATTTCCTGCTTCGGGTTTCAACACGTAGCAATTTTTGTTTCCTTGAGGAAAACTCCTGAGGTCGGAGAGAGGGAAGGGGAGGGTGGGATTGTTTGGATACATAAATTCAGAAGAGATGTTCTGGTTTATCCCTGTGTCTATGTAATCTCCATCTGGTGAGTATGTTATGTTCGTATCCGTGTCTTCATAGGGCTTCGAGGGAGAACCACAATCAATGCTTACGAAGTCTACTCCAAAACAAAATAAATGAAATAAGTCTTGGAACTCAAGCAACAAATCGAAAGAAACAGATTCTTCTTATGTTTTCAGTAATTCTTTTGTGTTGCCATGTGATCCTTCAAACAGAAGCACCTGCATTCTTTTCCAAATTTATGGAACATAGAAAAGAGGTCCAAGTTTTCCTTTTTCTTTGTTAACAAAGATAATTGTTGCTTAATGTTGTTTTCCACGGCTATCCTACTTTAAGTGTAGGTCGTGGGAAAATTCCCAAATTACTGCTTAGGAGTATTAGAATAGGCCAGTGCTTTTTCTTTCATAAATATCTATTCAATTGGAAAATAGGCCAGTGTTTTCCTTACCTACTCATTGTTCATACATTAACCCGAGTGTTTAGAGTCGTACTTTCAATTGACTCTTTTGTGAAGTGAACAAATCAAGCTCCACTCTCTACTTGGTTAGTCTTCAATCTACCAATTACTTTAGGGGTGTGTGAAACTTTAGGGATGTGTTATTCACACACCCCTTTTTACTTCTCACACACTCCTTGTTAATTTATGTCCGTTTATCTTCTTCAATTCATCCAATCTGATAGTCGAAAACCAAAAAGGTGTGGAAGAAATAAAAAGGGGTGTGTGAATATCACACCCCTTACTTTATTGTCCTATCTTCTAATTTGTATTTGTTTGGGTTTTCAAAATTAATGTCTGATTTCTACCATTTTCATTATTGTTCTATTGTTTTAAGCTACAGATGAAGTGTTATACATGTTAGGTAGAATTAAGAAGTGAATTAGTTCCTCTTGAGAATGAAGGGGATAGTTTTACGGGTGTTAACTTAGTTTTTAGATTGATTGTTTAGTTATAACATAAAATCTCAATATTTACATTTACAATATTAGAATGCACTGATCTAAGTAAGAGACTATTAAATCACTGAAAAATGTCCTCTCTAACTGGTATAAAACCAGATTCTTTTCCACCAATAAAAAAACTAGGTAACCATATTTTATCCTCATTTTTTTTTTTATAATATAAGCCTGTTGATGTATAAATCAATTGCATGTATTTTAATATTTCATATTTTTCCTTGCCTAGGTTGCTTTCTTGACAATCAAGAGCAATGGAGGGAAACTTTAGGTGCTTCCGTAACTGATTGATTTTTTTTCTATGTAGAAACAAAAGTTCTACGATTGTTTGTGTGTGGACTGTATCAATTAAATATTTTGTTTGTTAAAATTTTCTAACATTTTTACGTAAGTAACATTAATTATCTATGACATAAATCCCGCAGCAACGCACGAGGTACCAATTTCTAGTTTAGATCTAAACAAGAAGTTACAAGTAGATACATAAAGAAAATGATCAGAAACACAACATATCATTTGGCGTCGAACAAAAAACACTAACCTATCCGGCGCTGCGCACGAACTGAACTTGCACAGAGCATCAAAAGGAGGAGGAAGAACCCAGTTGATATTTTCATCTCTCTATCTCTCTCTCTCTCTCTCTCTCTCTCTCTCTCTCTCTCTGGAGCCAAATAATCTGATACTGAAAATGTATGAAACTGTGGAATATTAAAACTAATGCTGCAAAACCTGCTACAAATCGAGAGCTACAATTTGGTTTTTTAGGTCTGCATTTTCCTGGTCAATGCATTTTGGATGTATTTGATTTCACATATGGAACACAAGTGTGCTTGTCATAGCCTCAGCCACTCAATTAGTCAGACTAGTATTTTTAATTTTTTTAATTTTCAACCTACGAAGATTTAAACATTCTCAACAATTGGCTGAAGTGATAAAAATACAAATTTCGATGGATGAAAGGATCACTTTTTGAATTTTACTGATACATGTGTAATATTTAATTGACAACGTCGTTAATATTTGATTGATATGTTGTTACTTTTTTTTTATTTTTTTTATTTTTATCATTTTAGCAATTGAAATTTGTAAAATCCTCATTTCAAGCAAATTCCCTTCATTATATAACTTTAACTGTGATTGCGACATAGCACAACTACATTGACTAGAATAGATATGTTGCCACATGTGCTCCAGAGGTTGAGTTTTGGTCGCACAATATAGATTAATTTAGAGTTATGTTCTTTACACATTTATTTTTAATTTCACATACATTTTTTAATTTTTAGCCGTTAAATCGCATGAATTAAAGAAGATCAACAATAAAAATTAATTAAAGCTTGCGAAAAGTAAAACAATGGTTATGAATAGCACATTCTTAATTTAAACCAGTGTCTAACTGACATAAATAGACAAACAAAATAAAACTTAAGATGCAGCAATTAGTGAATAATTTAATAGATAAATAGCACATGAAAGCCAAAATCTTCAAGCCCACAAGGAGAGAGATAGTAGGAAACGCAACCACAAATCCATAGTCTAAAAGGCAGAAAAGGTGAGCCTAAAAGGCTACAACTTTATAATTTTCCACAGCTTTGCTTATAATATTCTAAAACTCAATTAGTGTTTATGGTAGGGTCAAATTAGTAGGTATAAGGGAAAAAATATAGAAGAAAAGAAAGAATGAAGATTATAAATATCCACTGTTATCGATACACTGGCGTCCATGCCAAAAGTATAGGTGTTCTAAAATAAATCAACTCTCATCTAAACTATTCACCTTCTTAATTAAGTTAAAAACCGTTGAGTTTCTTAACCATGATTGAAAGACTTCATAACTGTCAGTTACATTATTACATCAAAAATATCATCTAGAAACATCCAATATAATGACATTTCTAACGAACTTATGATGTCTATTAAATGGGCAACAAATTTTTTAAACACATGACAAATATATATATTAGATAGAGCGATACACTTTTAAACACTTAAACGGGTGGCGCCTCTTGGATTATGCCTTGGTTTATCTTGTCTGGCCGTCCGCACGCAGAAACTTATGCCGTTGTTCTCTTCGTTTGTTCTCTCTCTTTCAGTCAACGTTAACTGATTTTTAAAGACAAAAATTAAATAAAAAAAATGAATCAAATAACTCCTCATCTTTTTCTCTCTCATCATGACTATACGTAATTAAGAATTTCTTGTGTTCAAACAATAAGAGTACAGTAATTTATAGTATACACCTACCTCCTTAGTTATTAGAATTTTTTTCACATTCAACTATAAAACAATATTAGATTCTACACATTCAACTGTACCACAAAACTCAACTAAATATAGTAGAATTTTGGGAATATTGTTGTGAAATAAAGATCTAATTGCATCGGGTATCCCAGAGCATTTAAGATTTTTTATTGAGGAAAATAAAGAGAGAAAGTCTATGAAATCGGAAATCACAATCTTTATAGGTGTTATCCACATATCTATTTTTACTTTTTATACATATCTTTTAATTTTTAACAGTCGGATTAAATTAATTGAAGAAAAAAAAAATCCATGAATAAATATTAATAAAAATGTGTACAAAGTTAAAAGAAGTGGGACCAGCCGTACCCTTTGAAGTTTGAAATCATGGGACATGAATTGGAATTCAATGGGAAACAAAAAGAAAATTGTGGGACATGAATTATTGAGTTCACTATACTATGATGTTTAGTCTTGGATTTAACCCTTTCAACACGCAATATCTTAATGTCTATTCACCTTACTCTAGTCCAGGCTTACTTCCACCGTTGGATTTCTGTTTACGAACTTGTTAGTGACAAGCTTTTGTGATCCGACGTTGGAGGATTTGTCAATAACACGATAGGGTTTTAAGTCATTGATTTGGACTTGGATTAGTATTTATGATTGATTTGAATGTAATTTGTTAATTTTCTGAGCATTCCACCGACTTTTTGGAAGCAAGCTGATTCTGCTGATTTGAATTCACAAAAAATGAACTCAATTACAAAAAACCTATGTGATGAGAATGAATATCATATTTATAGAATGAAAGATTTTGCATAGGTTTATAAATAAAAAATTGAACTATTTCCTATATTAACAATTGGTTTTATGGTAGAACTTCAACTTCTTCATAGTATCAGAGCAGGTTGTCGCACGTGTGAAGTTCAACGGCCACACATGCTTCACGTCACCCGAGTTGTCTTGTCTATATGTTAAGCTCGAAAGTTCGCTACACATAACAGAGCGTGTTGAGAATGAATCTCATATTTATGGAAGGAGGGACCTTACATGAACTTATAAGAGGTTGATCTTTCTCCCATATTGCTAGTTGATTATATGATGAAACCTCAACTTCTTCACTATGCACCAAATCATAAAATTTAAATGAATAAAAAAGCTTAACAATGTACTAAAAATAGAATTTCAAACAATAGTATATGGGAACCACCAAAGTTAAAGACTAACTAGCTACCTAGCAAATGGTGCTGTCATGGAACCTGCATTTGTGGAATATGAACATCTGGAAATCACTCTTCGTGAACTATGGTATGGTGAAATTGTAACACGAGTTTCTTCATTTGAGCCTGGAGTTGTTTCTCGATACCTAGACACCTCCATTTCCAAACATTGTGTTAGTTGGCACAGCACAAAACCCATGATGGCTCTATGTTGGGAGGTGGAAGTTGTGCATGCCATTGCTGTCTCTAATGCTTTCCAGACCGAATTCACATCGAACTCTCCTCCGCAAACTGTTTATCGAGGATTTTCCCAATTTGAGGACTTTGTCGGGTCATGGGATACAAACCCCTGTCTCTCTTGAAGATCTGAGTATCAAGAATTGCCCTAATCTAGAGGCTGTTCCTACTTTGGGCAACCTCAAATCCCTCCGTCAGTTGCATATTGAGAAATGTGGTGGATTAACAAGTATACCAAGTGGGATCACATCCTGCACTTCTCTTGCCACTTTGTCTGTCATAGGTTGCCCCAATTTGATATCTCTGGCAGATCAAGTTGTGTCCACCTTGCAATCCCTTCGCTCTTTAAAATTGTCAGATTGTGGGAAATTACAATATTTTCCCAAGGGGCTGCAGTCTCTATCTCGTTTGGGAGAGATGTCGATTGGTGCGTACTGGGAGGAGCTAGTTTCTATCCCGGATTTTCAAGTTCCATCACAACTTGAAAGATTAGAGCTGTTGGGATGGCCAAAGCTCAAGTCTTTACCTCAACAAATTCAAGACCTAGCTTCTCTACCGTCGAAGCTATGAAACGTTTAACCAAATTACAAGACCTAGCGATTGATTCGTGTCCCCGTTTGATGAAAAGATGCGACAAGAACAGCAGTCGAGAATGACCAAAGATTTCCCACATTACAAATAGCAGTGGTAATTTTTTTTACTCCAATTCAGCTATTCATGTATAATTTGTTCAATTCTCTTTGCTCACTTTTTGTTTTCTGCTGTATTAAGTATTAATTGAACATATTTCTTAACTAGTTTACTCGCATGACGAATCGGATAATCACTCAGAAGATTCCAATTCGACCCATTAGATGCCTCAACAATCTCGCACGGTTGGATATTCATGCTTTTAATCTTTTAATGTATGTAGCTCCAATCTTGTTTCACTGATGGAGTTTATTATTTAATTTCTTACGTGGTTTTCAGAAAGACATTTAATCAATTGGAACAAGAAGTGATGCGTAATATTTAAAGACCAAGCGTTGCTCAGGTACTTTAATCCTTATCATTTGAGATATTTACTTTTTTTTTTTTTCTTCTTGAAATTTTGTGTTGATTATGCTTTTACTTCTGAAATATTTGTATGGAATACGGATAATAGATTTTACGGGAGTGGATTTTTTTTTTTTCTTTCCAGAGTGGCTGGATAACCTTGCATCTTTGACTTTGCTGCATATGACGAGGTTGGTAGAATGTATCTACCTACCATCGAAGCTTATGCAACACCTTACTAAATTCATTCCGCCCCTCTTTTTTGTGAGAAATTTTTTACTGTGACATGAATATTGGTAATATACTACATGTTTTTATATAAGTAATGAGAAATTTTAATACTTAAGTTATTAACTTTTTAGCATATGCATCTCACTATTTGTATAATAACACATGTGATGTACCTTCATATGCTTTTATTTCTTACATTAATAAGTATGGTTGACACGAAATTTGGTGGAAAATATTATAAGATGTTTGGTTAAACTTCGACAAAGAAGAACAAACCATCTCACTGGAAGTTGGTGATTCGACAAATGAGTTCAGAATTGCATTGCAGGCAGAAAGCGTTCTTTCAGAAGATAAATTTTTGGTTGTTGCTACTCAGGGCTGGTTTAGTATTGATGTGTTTAGAAAAAAAACTTGTTTCTGTTGTTTTATGAGAATAAGCAGCTGTGAAATAAAATAGCAGAGTGTTTGATAAATTTTTTTGTTAATGTGCTTTTGGAAAAAAAAAAGCAGTATGATAACATTTAGTAAATAGCTGTGACTGTGTAAAATTACCAAAAAAAAATATAATACTAAATGTGATATTAATTTAACTTTCTCAACATATAAAGGTGTGAAGCCAAAAAGGGTATAATCCAGCAGTAACCTCCTCGTAAACATTAACAGACCGTTCGTTAAGCAGAAGCCGCTAATTACTTGCCATGAAATCCTCCGTTGGTTTGAAAAATGCTCTCTCTCTCTACATACATACATACATGCATACATACATACATACATATATATATATATATGGTCTTTTCTTCTGACATGCCACTTCCATCACCAAAACTCACCAAACCCAAAAGAGAAGATCGAAGATCGTGAGCACACAGCCATGACCAAACCCATCTTCTTCTTTCTCTTTCTAGCCTCTCTCATCTTCTCGTCCCATCACTCCTTTTTCACCATTTGCAGTGCAGCACTTGAGGACTCTGATGAAGTTGGTAATACCTCTCTCTCTGTACACACGTACAAATCAGAAGCAAAGTTCACAGATCAGATGCAGAGCTGAGCTTTATCCTTTCTTATATACCTAAACCCTAAGATAAATCAGAAGCAGACCTTCTAAAAAAATGAATAGAGAAGTAAACGATTTTTCTTACTTTTCTCTCAATTTTTCTTGTTTCCTCCACAAACCCTAATTTTTTCCCAATTAATGGCTTATTTCAGCTGAACACCGGCGCCGAAGAACGCAACTTTGGAGAACAAGAGAGATCTCTGGGAGGAAGGAAGTTTCAGGTTGGCGGCTGTTGGGAGGGAATGAGTGAGACGGGAGGGAGAGAAGTGAGATGCCAGAGCAAGGAAGAGAAGAAGTGAGATGCTAGGGGTGTGGGTAGGATCGTCATTTGAAAACTTTCATTAAATATTACTGTTCATCCGTGTTGCTATGATTTAAAAACCTGTTTTTGAAAGCAGCAAATAGCTGCTTCCACTTTCCTGTTTCTCACAGCAATTTTGGAAATAAGTGCTTTGTTGCTGATTTCCCAAACACAATATTGAGCTCAACTTTTTTCCATCCCAGCTTTTAAAAAAATTTAAGCAGTACCAAACCAGGGCTCAATCGGAGGATTTATTGTCAAGTGGTGTTGAGAGGAGGTTTTCGTTTCTCCGCTGGCATCGACTGCTGGTTGTTTTGTTGGTGATCCGAACTCATTTGCAAAGACTATTAATATACTAAACTAGCTGATTTCGAATGATCCCCTCTTCATTTCGTATGAATTTCACTTGGTATTTTGTATGTGCCGAAAGCAGTAGTGATCAAAACCAAATCAAAATGAGCATGAATTGTGAATACACCGGCAAAATGAAAACTCAGAGTTCGCTGGTAACCTGAAGAGGAAAAACAAGCCGAAGCGCAGAAAATTATCCTAGTAGTTTATAAGATGATGGTCTAAAGGACAAGCTCATGAGGCTTCATGCCTGCCTTGAGAGAGAATCTCGCCGCCAAGTACGTCTTCAAGTCTGGGACAGCCTCAATGGACTTTATCAATGAAGCATCCACGCTCTTCTGATCGTCTTTCTTTCCTTGTGGGAGCACATTCTTCTCCTACAATTTGTTGTTCGGGAAAATATTAATTAATACAGAGACAACGAAAGATTTCCACTCATTTACAGACTTCCCTTTAACATGTAGAAGAAGCGATCAAGATAGTAGAAAAGAGATGGGTTGATACAATTAAAAGGGAAACATAAAAGGATCAGAGAATCTGTACAAGAAAAATATCACGCAAAATCGGAAGACGATGATCACATTGCCACATTTAACTTAAACTTCATGCAGACGGTACCAACAATGAAGAGAATCACGAGGACCATAAATTATTTGCTCAAAAGTATATGTAAATGAAGAACGACAATTCTAACCTCTTTCTCAGCCTCAAAAAATTCTCCGTCTCCTTTTGTAGACATCGAAATTTCAGTAAAACAAATGTTCACCAATGCATTAAAGTTTTGACGTGTCAAGGCATACATGGCATACGCCACGTGTTGTATAAATTGTACACATGGCGTGTGACTCAACAAAATAGGAAGAAATACCCTTGAAGGATTAAACAAGTTTTTCTTCTCATTTTGGGCAATGACAAGGCAAGTACATTTCAATCTATTGAGGATCAAAACAAGTTTTTCTTCTCATGTTGGGCAATGACAAGGCAAGCACACTTCAATCCATTACGGATCAAAGCAAGTTTTTCTCATTTGGGCAATGACAAAGCATACACATTTCAAGTTTAAAATGGTGTTAAGTGGGAAATTAGGCCATAAGTTACACCACTTCAAGTTTAAAATGGTGTTAAGTGGGAAATTAGGCCATAAGTTACACCACTTCAATTTCAATATTGCATTAAGTGGGAAAATTAGGCAATGGTGCTTGGAAAGGAAAAAAATATTTTGTGGTGGTGATTCATTCTCAAAGCCTATAAATAGGCTTCTCCATCAAGGTATCAAGCATCAAGGAATTCACAAATACATTTCTCTACTCCAAAATTAGAAGAGGAATTCCCCAAATCCTTGAAGCTTTGAAACTCCAAAGCTTCCAACCATCCAAATTCCCAAGAATTCCGAAGGATCAAGAAAGCTCTCTTCGTTCTTCGTCAAATCCTCCTTCAAGATCAAGCCCCAACGGCCCTTGAAGAACTTCCACCAACTCAAGATCAAGCCCCGACGGCCCTTGAAGAAAGTGTTCATTGTTCATCATCCGTTCATCCTAAGATCAAGCCCCAACGGCCCTTTGGATCAACAATATCAACAAATCCACACATCCAACCGTTCTTCAAGATCAAGCCCAAAAGCTCTTGAAGATCCGCTCATCCACACAACCATTATTCAAGATCAAGCCCCGAAAAGCCCTTGAAGAAAGTGTTCATCGTTCATCCTAAGATCAAGCCCCAACGGCCCTTTGGATCAACAACCTCAACAAATCCACACATCCAATCGTTCTTCAAGACTAAGCCCAAAAGCCCTTGAAAATCCACACATCCAATCAACCTTCAAGATCAAGCCCAAAAGCCCTTGAAGAAAACCAACTGTTCATTCAAGATCAAGCCTCGACGGCCCCTTGAAGAAAACCAACCGTTCTTCAAGATCAAGCCCAACGGCCCTTGAAGATCCGCTCATCCATCAAATCCTTCTTCAAGATCAAGCCCAAAAGCCCCCTTGAAGAAAACCAACTGTTCATTCAAGATCAAGCCTCGACGGCCCTTGAAGAAAACCAACCGTTCTTCAAGATCAAGCCCAAAAGCCCTTGAAGATCCGCTCATCCATCAACCTTCAAGATCAAGCCCAAAAGCCCTTGAAGAAATCCACACAACCATTATTCAAGATCAAGCCCCGACGGCCCTTGAAGAAAGTGTCCATCCGTTCATCAACTGTTCATCCTTAGATCAAGCCCCGACGACCCTTTGGATCAACAACTCATCCACAAACCTACACCTTACAAAGATAGAATCAGAGGACCAAATTTGAGAGAGATCGTAACCCCAAAATCATTAAACACAAAAATATTATTTTGTACACGTTATTCTTGTTTCTTGTTTCAAGGAACTTTCGTGTTCACACCCTTCTTCTTCTTCTTCTTTTCAACTTCCTTAGCAAAATATTTGTCATCAAATTTTTCGACATTCAACCCAGAAATGTCAACCTTGGTAGAAGTGGCAATCACGTAAGATTGATATACACGTCTCAAAGGAACACCATTAATTTTAAAGGGGCCTGCAATGGCATCATACCAGCGCTCAAGTTAGAACGGCACTCGACAAGTTTTTTTCAAGAAGCAGGCAAGTGCCCTAAACTAGAAACCCATTACCGCCACCCACCACGGGGATTGAAAAAAAGGAGCAAATACACAAATCAGTAAATGTAAACAAAATAAAAACAAATATTTTAATAAGAAGCAAACAAAGAATCATTCGAAAAACCTATGAAAGCTGAAGGCATAAAAGGTAATACATTATAAATTAGAGAAAATAAGAATGTAGATTACTAGATGACATTTCACAAGTTGATACACTCAGATCTATCTATGCTGTTACAGAAGCGAGTGTTACTCTTTCATGTCATCATTTCACACAATTTCGGACGAAAAAAAATTAGCACCACATCACTTCGAGTACTCGCTCACTTACCCTATTTGAATATCCCCCACTCAAAGAAAACTCCACCCAGCAAAATAGCCCATTCAACCGGAGGGGAGCAATCCCCCAAGCACAATTCATACGAGACGGTGATGTATTTGCAAATAACTTGAAACAAAAGAAACCTCCTTTTTTGCACCAAATTGTAATGGCATCGCCACAAGACAACGTTATCGTCATTGGGTGGAATTCACGGCCAAGGAACCTTCAAGTAACATAAAACTTTAACATTCATTCGAAATTCCAGAACAATAATTTCTGCTTAAAAAAAAAAAAAAGAACTCACCAGTAACAAGAAGTAGCCCAGATGAAAGCTGCTTAAGAAAAACAACTCTCTTTCCCTTAAACCTTCCAGCTTATACAATCTGGCCCAAACTTCCGGTTTTAATTTTTTTTCGTTTTTGGTTTTGGGCTTTGTATCAATCTGGCCCAAACTTTACTTATTGTACTGAAATGTTCTGTATTATTGAAAAACATTTGAATTTTAAAAATAATCACTTGTAAAAGTAAAACGATTGAGGTCTTGTTTGTCATGTTGTACATAGCATTGGATTAAACCAATAACTATGGAATCAATTGTTGAGCACTTATGTATCAAGTAGGCATTTGACTAATTATTCTATTCTGGTTTCACTTATTTTACACGTTATACACGTGTTAATTTGTATACTTTAAAAGATATTTATAGTGGTTGAAAAAATGTATTTTAAAGTCACTTAGTACTAATCTAGTGATATTCCTTTTCACTTGTAACTGCATGGTCTTATATTCAAATCTCGTTGATGACAAATTCAATACCAATTTATTCTCCCACTCTACTTAGTTTAAAGCCTCAAACCATGCATGATAACCTCCAAGAAAAGTAGATAAGATACAACATCGGGTAACATAATTTGGATTGATTTACTCCATTGAACAAAAAAATGAAGTGAAAACTTGTATACCAAATAAAAAACTCAAAATGAATTACAAGCCATTTAGAAATGTTTTTTTAAAAAACACTTATGCTCATAAGTGTTTTTAATAAAGTGCTTCTATTTTTTATAATATATAAAGAAATCCAAAGTAATATACAAAAGGATCAAAGAAAGAAAAAGAACTTTATGGATATTGTAGTATGTATATCTTCTTCGTCAACTAGCCGGAAATGTCACCAGTTACCTAGCAAATGGTCCGGTCATGGAATCAACATTTGTGGAATCTGTATACACGGAGAGAACTTCAGGTGAACTATGACTATACTGCCTAAACGCAGCGCGAAGTTCTTCTGTTGATCTTGGAGTTCTTTCTCGATGCCTAGACAACTCCATTTCCAAGCAATATTTGAGCTCAGACAATACTGTTGGAAAATCAAATAAAAACAGGTTGTTAATGGTTAAAACAAGCTGTCAGTTTCTTTCCAGGGTGTTTTTTCAGCAACTACAAAGATCATTGCTTCCTCCATGTGTTAGCCGAAAGGAGATTGAAAGACAGCAGAGATGTGAGCTGCTGTGTGCAAGCCGAAAGGTGGTTATTACAACCTGCCATGATGAAATGCATGTGTATGCCAACTATCAAAGTTGCTGCATGTGTTTGAAAGGGTGTAAAGATGTGGAACACCATCATTCATTATATGTATTGTTGGATTGTTTATTTTTTCAGTTTTGTATAAATAGGCCATCTTGCTAAGCCTTAGTGCATCCCATCCAAATCCCATTTCCCATTCATTTAAATTCAGCTTGTAAGCTTTAAGAGTTGTAAACTCTTCTAATATTTCAAAGTGTTTGTTATCACCAAGCTTGCTACTTCTTTCCTTTCTTTGTCCAATTTTATTGAGAGTGAAAGTGAGAGGTGTGATAGAGTTTGTAAACTTATCACCCACATATTTTGGTATTGAGTTAGCAAACTCTTGTGAATACCAACAATTGGTATCAGAGCCAGAATACCATTCTGGCAAGTGCAGTAGCTATGGCGTCCAATTTAGTGCAACTCCAGGTTCCCACATTGAAGAAAGAAAATTATGAAAGATGGTGCATCCAATTCAAAGCATTGTTTGGATCACAGGAGCTATGGGAAGTTGTCAGTAGTGGGTATGTTGTACCCACTGCCGAGCAAGAAGCTGCATATACTGCAGAACAAAGGAACACTCTCAAGGACTTACGAAAGAAGGACCAGAAGGCACTGTATCTTCTATACCAAGGTCTAGAAGATTCAACGTTCGAGAAGGTTGCAGAAGCAACAACGAGCAAGCAAGTATGGGACACACTTAGTACAATCTACAAAGGAGTAGATCGGGTCAAGAAAGTGAGATTACAGTCACTTCGAGCAGATTTTGAAACTGCTCACATGAATGAAGGAGAGAGCATCTCCGACTATCACTCAAGGCTCATTGTGATAGTAAATCAGATGAGGAGAAATGGCGAGAGACTCGATGAAGTACGAGTTGTGGAGAAGATACTCCGGTCACTCACATCTAAGTTTGAGCATGTGGTGACTGCCATTGAGGAATCCAAGGATTTGGAGGTGATGAGCGCAGAGGAGCTACTAGGATCCCTCCTAGTTCACGAGCAACGCATTCAGAAGAATGCAAGCCCCACAACGCTAGAGCAAGCTTTGGAGTCAAAGTTGAATATTGACAAACCAAATAAAGGTCGTGGGCAGTGGAACTCACGTCGTGGGAGTTTATCTAACCGTAGCCGAGGACGAGCTCAAGGAAGAGGTCGAGGCTATGCACAAAATCGAGGTCAGTCTCAAGAGTGGAGATCTACTCGAGGAAAGGCGCATATCCAATGTCACAATTGCAAGCAATATGGACATTATGCCAATGAATGTTCACATAAAAATGGTGAACATGTCAACATGGCAGAATCAAGTGGAAATACTGATGAAGAACTTACAGTCTTGCTAGCACACCATGATTCCAGTAGCCAACAAGATGTTTGGTATTTGGACTCTGGTGCAAGCAATCACATGTGTGGAAAGAAGGAGTTTTTTGCCGAACTAAAAGATGGGGCCTATGGATCTGTAAGTCTTGGTGACTCTTCAAAGTTGCCAGTTGAAGGCAAAGGGAAGATCAAGATCATCCAGAAGGATGGTAAAGAAGAATACATCTCCGATACCTACTACATACCAGGTATGAAAAGCAACATTCTAAGCATTGGTCAACTGCTCCAGAAAGGGTACATTATACATATGGAGAATATGTTTCTCACTCTCAGGAATGCAAGGAGAAAACTTATTGCACGTGTTCAAATGTCAAAGAACCGAATGTTCCCGTTGAAGTTGAACACAAAGATTGGGAGTTGCAACATCGGTGTAATGGAAGATGGGTCATGGAAATGGCATCTTCGGTATGGCCATCTTCATTTCAATGGCCTAAAGTTGCTGTCAAATGAAGGAATGGTTCGTGGTCTACCCCAGATTGAAGCCACACGCCAAGTATGTGAAGGTTGTGTGCTTGGCAAGCAAGCACGACTATCATTCCCTGTTGGTGATACATGGAGAGCAAGGGCACCACTGCAGTTGGTGCACACAGATATATGTGGTCCATTGGATCCCATGTCTTACGGAGGTAATAGGTATTTTATTACTTTCATTGATGATTTTAGTAGGAAGACTTGGGTTTACTTTCTCAAGGAGAAGTCAGCTGCCCTAAGAATCTTCAAGGAGTTCAAGGCACTCACAGAGGCTGAAAGCAACCACAAGCTTGTGGCTGTGAGATCAGATAGAGGTGGAGAGTACACCTCCAATGCTTTCCAAGCATACTGCAAGGAGCAAGGAATTAGGCATCAACTTACTGCTGCCTATACCCCACAGCAAAATGGGATAGCCGAAAGAAAGAATCGAACCATCCTTGACATGACAAGGTCCATGCTTAAGGAGAAGAATTTGCCAAAAGAGTTATGGGCAGAAGCTGTAGCTTGTTCGATTTATTTGTTGAATCGATGTCCAACAAAGAGTGTCAAGAGGATGACACCACAAGAGGCTTGGAGTGGATACAAGCCGAATGTTACACACCTAAGAATTTTTGGGTGTGTTGCATATGCTCAAGTTCCAGAAGCCAAGAGGAGGAAACTTGATGATAGAGGTGAGAAGTGTGTGTTTGTGGGCTATAGTGAAGAGTCCAAGGCGTACAAGCTCTACAACCCACTAACTGGCAAACTAGTGGTTAGTAGAGATGTCATTTTCAGTGAGGAAGAGGCATGGATGTGGAACAACAAAGAAGTCAGTAAAGAGAAGATCGTCTCCATTGATTTTGAAGAACCAGAAGTTGTACCACCTGTTGAGCAACAACCTGCTCAAACAATCACAACAACTCCAGTGCACAGAATTGCAAGGAGTGGTCCTACATCTAGTGAGGAAAGCAGCTCCTCAACTCTAGTAAGGTTAAGGAGTCTCACAGAGATTTATGGACAAGAAGAAGAAGAAACCAATTTTTTCTGCTTCTATGCAGACCATGAGCCTCTCTCATTCAATGAAGTTGTGGAAGAAAATTGTTGGAAAAAAGCCATGGAAGAAGAGATCCATGCCATCGAGAAGAATGACACTTGAGAGTTGATAAAGCTCCAACCAAATCAGAAGGCTATTGGTGTCAAGTGGGTTTACAAGATCAAACGCACTACAAATGGGAGTGTGGATCGATACAAATCAAGGCTTGTAGCAAAGGGCTACAAAGAGAAGTATGGAGTGGACTATGATGAAGTCTATGCTCCAGTTGCAAGACTTGACACGGTAAGATTGCTAATCTCTCTTGCCGCTCATCATAAATGGAAAATTTATCAATTAGATGTCAAGTCAGCCTTCCTTAATGGAGTTCTTGAGGAAGAAGTGTACGTGGAACAACCAGAAGGCTTCCAAGTACAGGGAAAAGAAGATAAGGTGTATCGTTTGAAGAAGGCTTTGTATGGCCTCAAGCAAGCACCACGAGCTTGGAACTCAAGGATTGACAACTACCTTCATCAAAATGGATTTCAGAAATGTCCATACGAGCATTCAGTTTCCATGAAGAATGGTGCAAAAGGGGAGTTCTTAATTATTTGTCTCTATGTAGATGACTTGTTGTTTACAGGAAACAATGAAGCAATGTTCTGTGAGTTCAAGCAATCCATGTTCAATGAATTCGAGATGACTGACAATGGATTAATGTCATACTTTCTTGGCATAGAAGTGAAGCAAGGAAGTGATGGTATCTACATTTCTCAACAAAAGTACATGAGAGATATATTGGAGAAATTCAATATGGACAAGTGCAATATTGTCAACACTCCAGTTGCAACTGGATTGAAGCTGTTTAAGGAAGGAGAAGGTGAGTTTGTAAACTCAACCGTGTACAAAAGCTTGGTTGGAAGCCTAAGGTACCTTACAATCACAAGACCTGATATAGTTTATGGTGTTGGACTCGTGAGTCGATACATGGAAACACCTAGGGAGTCTCATTGGCTGGCCGCCAAGAGAATTTTGAGGTACATAAGAGGTACTCTAAACTATGGTCTGTTTTATAATTTTGGTGAAGATGCAAAATTATTTGGTTATTCAGATAGTGATTGGGGAGGTGACCAAGATGAAAGGAAAAGCACAACTGGTTATGTGTTTTTTCTAGGATCAACAGCTTTCTCATGGACTTCAAAGAAGCAATCAATTGTTGCTTTGTCATCGTGTGAAGTCGAGTACGTTGCTGTAGCCTCAACCGTGTGTGAGGCAATTTGGTTAAGAAATCTGTTGAAGTCAGTGTGTCATCCACAAGTGGAATCGACTGTGATTCATGTGGATAACATCTCAGCTATCAAGCTTGCTAGGAATCCAGTCCAACATGGAATGAGTAAGCACATCGATACCAGGTTCCATTTTTTGAGGGATCATGTGAAGCAAAAGACAATTGAGCTTGTCTATTGTCACACGAAGGAACAAGTGGCAGACATCTTCACTAAGCCACTGCCAGTTGAGCCATTCAAGTTGCTACGTGAAATGCTAGGGATAAAGGCGTTTTAATTTGAGGAGGTGTGTTGGAAAATCAAATAAAAACAGGTTGTTAATGGTTAAAACAAGCTGTCAGTTTCTTTCCAGGGTGTTTTTTCAGCAACTACAAAGATCATTGCTTCCTCCATGTGTTAGCCGAAAGGAGATTGAAAGACAGCAGAGATGTGAGCTGCTGTGTGCAAGTCGAAAGGTGGTTATTACAACCTGCCATGATGCAATGCATGTGTATGCCAACTATCAAAGTTGCTGCATGTGTTTGAAAGGGTGTAAAGATGTGGAACACCATCATTCATTATATGTATTGTTGGATTGTTTATTTTTTCAGTTTTGTATAAATAGGCCATCTTGCAAAGCCTTAGTGCATCCCATCCAAATCCCATTTCCCATTCATTTAAATTCAGCTTGTAAGCTTTAAGAGTTGTAAACTCTTCTAATATTTCAAAGTGTTTGTTATCACCAAGCTTGCTACTTCTTTCCTTTCTTTGTCCAATTTTATTGAGAGTGAAAGTGAGAGGTGTGATAGAGTTTGTAAACTTATCACCCACATATTTTGGTATTGAGTTAGCAAACTCTTGTGAATACCAACAAATACAACATCCATTGTGACTCTGTGTTGGGAGGTAGAGGTTGTGCACGCCATTGCTATCTCTAACGCTTTCCAGACCGAATGCCCATCGAACTCTTCTTGCATCCTTTGATCCACAACCCTTTTTAGTTCCCTTTTTTCGAGCTCAGAACTCACCCACGTTGTTATGTAGATTACTTCATGATTTTTTATCACTGCAGGTTGGCCGGTGATTAGCTCTAATAGAACTACCCCAAAACTATACACATCACTCTTTTCATTCAGCCTTTGGCAATTGTGGTATCTGTAAATAAAAACTAATATTCATTAATCACAATGTCGTGGTTTGTATGTAGCTTATTGTCGGTTTAGTGCCCCTTCAATTTTATTTTTGATTAAGAGTTTGTTCCTTTTTTTTACATCGTATTTTCGCATGATTATAATGGTAATAGAATGAGAAAATCTAAACATACTCTGGATCAAGATATCCGGCTGTTCCCATGACTGTGCTGACCACTTGAGTCTCAATGTCCCTAGCAAAAACCTTGGAAAGACCAAAATCCGCCATTTTAGCTTCCAAGTTGTCGCTTAAGAGAATGTTGGCAGTCTTCACATCTCTGTGGACAATAGGCGGCTTGCATCCGTGATGCAAGTACTCGAGACCTACGAACCAAATTTTGCTTTCCGCATTAGTAGAACTATAATTTGTGTAAACATGATCACATCTATTTTACTGAAATAACAGGAAGCACGAACCTTGTGCAGCATCCATTGCTATACGAAGTCTCATTTCCCATGTCATCTGTGAACTTCTTTCTGCATCTGCAACCATTAATGTAATATTTAAATATTTTGAAATGCTATTATATTCTCTAGAGTTAAGATGTTCCAACATAAACTGGTGAAAATTCTCTATCTTGATAACAGGATTATACCTGAGAGAGAGTTTTTTTAGGTTGCCATTTGCCATGTACTCGTATATAAGTGCCAAGTTGTTAGCATCATTGCAGTATCCAACAAACGAGGCCAACTTTCTATGATGGATTCTCATCAGGAGCTCAGCCTGCAGTCAAGAACAAACTCATCACAATCTGTATCGAACAAGACTAGGTGCCTTATTTACCTTGCGTTCCAAGAAATTCAAACTGTCAAACCTCTGTTTGGAACTCCCTAGGTCCTTGAGTTGATGATGCAGAAAGCATTTTTACTGCAACTTGGTTTCCGTCTTTCATGCAACCATGGTACACAGTCCCAAATCCTCCTTTCCCGAACGAGGTTTGAAGTTTTTGGTGATATCTCAAACCTCCTCATGAGTAAACTGGCACTTCCTTGATGCTATAGCTGTTTTGTTAAAAGGTTCTGCTTCTGTGCCATAAGTCCACAAAAAATATGTGTTCACACCGTTTAAATATTCATTAGACAACCTGTTTCGAGAGTTCTTCATTGTTCAAAGTAATACTATTACAATTCGGGGAACTATTAAGATCTGTAAAGGTACCTGATTCTCTTTTTCTTTTCAATTTTCCATACTGGTATCAGCACTATAACAACTGCTAGTGCTGACACTAATGACGCAAGTATTGGAGCGACAATTTTCTTCTTCTTTTTGTATGAACCTGAGCCACAAAGATTTTCGCTATCCACTCTGAAATGAACAAAAAATTCTTCTTATTTCTGTTATTTGTCAAAGCAAAGGCATATTTACAAACCAATAAACAAGAAGCGATTTTTACCTCATTACAAGTAATCCAGCTTCTGATCTCTCGCGAAGAGCGTTTGGAACTGAACCAGAAAATTGATTGCCCTTCAAATTCCCGCAGGTCAATTCTTAATAATATGGAATTCTGGTATCAAATGAGTCTATGATCATGTAGAAATTACACTTTCAAGAGAGTGAGAGACTTCAGTTCTTCCAAGAACTGAGGCATTGGTCCGGTTAGGTTATTGTTCGACAAATATCTGGGACGAAAACCATTATGGTTAGTAGGTTCTGCAAGATAGATTGAAAGGTGGGTGACCATCAGTTTCTTAGTCACTGAAGTCTAGGATAACTATTCTGTTGGGTTTGATAGGGTTTCTTATGTTTGATAGGGTTTCTTATTCAATCTTATTGACTTCAACCTCTATCGTTCAAAGAAAATAGAGGAAATCAGTCTATCAAAATTTGAAAGCCAAGTCTATGCTTGTCTCCTCAAAGAAAATTTAATTTATATAGTTAATACTTTTAACATTTGTTTATTTGACTTTATGCATAACGTTTGTTTATATAACATTTTCTATTCGTCATCTTAACCACTAACCTCCTTTCTTTTTTAGGAAAATTAATGAAAATGATTTGAAAACTTTGAGTTTTAATGATAAGGTCAAAATAAAGGGTAAAGTGAATAGTACCAAGTTTGACTTTTTAGTGTAAAAATGTGGTTTTTCGTTAAAGTGAACAGCATCGCAAGCTTTTCGTTAAAACTTCCTTTTTTTTTTTTTTTTTTTGACACTTGCAGATGACCTACCCTCAACCATGACACCCAAAAACTCCCCGTCCCTCCTTCTAATTCTATATTTATTTATGTTATTAAAAAAAATACAAAATAGCGAGGGGGAATATAATAAAATGGGTAATGTTAAGGAGATCAAAATTTTAAGCAAAATTTGCATGTAAACCAAATGATGTGGTGGTAGATGATTAGATTATTACTTAAGTGTTGATTAACGTGCTTATTTCCTATTAGTTACACATTATTTGGTTTGCAAATTTAGTTTAAAAATTTGATATCTCTAATATTATCCTATAGATGCATACCTTTGCCACTAATGGTACACCAGCACACTTTCCAGCTATGGCCCTTCCAATGCTCTCTTGAGTTGAATCTAGAGGAGGAGTGTTACCATTTAGTAATGCTTCACCCTTTAATATGGACCAACAATCCTCCAATGATAAAATCTCCAAATGACACCTCAGCACTGTCTTTGTGATCGATGCAACCTTTTAGCACTGTGGGTAGTAACAATGGTAATGCTTCCTGGAGCAGAATTGAGCTTTGACAACAACATGTAAAACTGCTCCATAAATCGTCATCTTCATTCCAAACATCACCAAATATCAGCATATATCTCTTCCCTGTCAACCTTTCTTTGAGGTTATTAAGCAATGTTTCCTGACCTGTAAATCCTGTCCTGTTTGAGTTAAAGGATTCTAACATCCAATTTAGAATTGAATTAACGTCAAAAATGTTGGACACACACATTGACACGCTTCGATCTTGGTGTCATAAGGACAACATGATGGCCACGTGTTAGCCAACACCCGAGGGTGATGCAAGCCATTTAATGAATGCATATGCCGAGAACATTTGAAACATGCATACAAATTTCGCGCGTAACAACGCAAAGTAGTAATCAAGTGCAAACCTTAATAAAATATAACATTCAACTACCAACAATTTCAAAGTGATAATGCATGACATGTTCAGAGCATACTACTAATTTGAAATACAAGTGGAAGGAATATTAGAAAGTACGATTACAAGAGGAATGGGTCCTACACCGAGAGGACTCGAAGATACCAATGCATGAGTGCCTTGACGCCGAGATTGTATGCCTCGATTCTAAATCCTGAGGGGCACAAAACAAAACATGAATGGACCAAGTTCATATATATGTAATACTAAAACAATTATTCTTTAACGTACTAACCCCCATATTAGAAAATTCATATAGCATAATACGTAATAGGTTTTCTGAAAACCCTAGCATACCATAAAACCTTCATAAAACATATATCATATATAGTGTTTAGTAGTGGAATCACAATCGCTCGAAGGCACTACATCGCCCTGCCAAAGCCATACATAAATATCTTCCGCCTGAAGGCACTACATCGCCTGACCGAAGCCATATATAAATATTTTTCGTCCGAAGGCACTACATCGCCCAACGAAGCCATATATAAATATCTTCCTTCGGAATATCTTTCGTCCGAAGGCACTACATCGCCCGACTGAAGCCATATATAAATATCTTCTGCCCGAAGGCACTACATTGCCCGACTAAAACCATATATAAACATCTTCCGCCCAAAGGCACTGCATCACCCAGCCGAAGCCATATAGAAATATCATTTCCATATGTAAGCACAGAAAATCATAAAGATAATCTTTCCAAAATATATCTTATCGGAGCTCAATAGCTCAAACATCATATCATAAATTCATGTTCATAAATATCTCAATAACATAAATTCGATAAAGCATGATATTTCATAAAAGCGTAAATCCAATTTACTCATAAACGTTTCATAAAACGTAGTAAAAAAAATCATGCTTTCATGTATGCATTTCTAGCAATAAAATAATGCATTTTGGAAGAGGTTCACTCACAGACACTCTGTTGCCAAAGAGTTGCTCAAATTAGAGAGGACGGGGTCTCCACTAACAAACACACCTAAGCACATAAAAGGACCAATTAATAAAACTCTACTAAAATGATTGAATTTGGGAAAACGAAGCACATATTTGGAATTAGGACGTCGAAATTAGTTTAGGAGGGGTTCCAACCGAAATCCGAAAAAAATCAACAAAAGTCAATGGTCAACGGTCAAAGGTCAACGGGTCAAGTCAACGATCAATGGTTGGGTCAACTATCAACGAACAAGGTCAATGGGTTGGGTCAACTCGGTCATCGGAAACTGGGTTTTTGGCCAAAACTTTGAGTAATTTTCAAAGTTTCGTTTCTTAACCAAATTCAACCCATAATATATCAAAACGAAGCTAGGAATGTAGAACACGATTACACCTATTTGGAAGCCCAATGGTTGTCGGAGATGGCTGGAAAATAGCCTGAAATGTGACTGGTCCAAGGGAAAACTAGGGAACTCGCTGGATTTCTGGGTAAAATTTAAAGTTCATAACTTTGTCAATACTCAACGAAATTGAGTGATTAAAAAACAAAAATTATACCTCAGGACGAGATGAACAGAATGGTGCCCTTCTCGATGGCTAACTCACTGTGGTTTGGTTGGAAAATGGCTCGAAAGGCTAGGAGGTTGCCGAAAATTGGATAAACTTTAAATGTTCATAACTTTTTCAATACTCAACGAAATCGAGTGATTCAAAAACAAAAATCATACTTCCCAATGAGATGAAGAGAATGGTACATTTCTCAATGGCTAACTAGCCATGGTTTGGCCAGAAAATGACCTAAAATGTCACGGCTCAACTTGGATGTTCTAGGTTAGTGAGGACGAGACGAAGTTTGTGGTGCTCTTGGTTTGGGCGGTGGTGGGAGTGTTGTCAATGTTGTTGTGTTGCCTTCCCAGAAAGGGAAGGTTAGAGAGAGGGATGAGAGAAAATGAGAGTGAAAGTATAGAGATAGATATTTTCAGAAATGGGAAAGGGAGGAAGGGTTACACGAGTCCAAGGGAAACATGTGGGCCTTAGTGGCTCACAAAACAATGTCACTAAAGACAAAACACGAAAATATCCGGAAAAGTTTGACGTTTCGTAACATAAAATCTTCGTTATAAAGCCAAAATCTAATCTGTTCGCGTCCACACGTTCGTGGCTATGAGTAAAATAAGAATAAACTAAGGAGATTAGTACTACGTATTTCGATGAGACGGTCAACGAAAGTCAATGTTCAAGCCTTGAGGGCAATTTGGTAATTTCATATGTCCGATAATATAAAAATACGACAAATTTAGGACGGGGTATCACACACGCCCACACTTTTTCCTCAAATTTTCTACCAATAGCAACATCATTAAATATTGATTTTGCCAAAGTCGTCTTTCCGAGTCCTCCAATTACCACAACGGTTTTAACCAAAAAGTTATTTTCCTGATTCTTGGACTCGATCAAGGTTGCAATGATATCCGACACAATCTTCTCCCTTCCAATGATCTTCTCATTGTGACGGAAGCTTGAGACAGATTCTCTGTTCCCCATACTTAGAGGGTTTAATCTACTCTCCTTGCAACTAAGCCAATGAAAGTTGCCTTACTGTTGAGACCCGCCACTGACACATTGATGTTCTTAATCTAGTGTGCCATCATTTGACAAAATAAAATAGGATCGGAGAGTGAAAAGAAGTTAAGCACCTTCTTCTTCATATGGTCTTGAATTTCTACTTTACACCATAGAACTTCTTAGTTGATGTCCTGATCCTGTGGTTTGTAGGCAACATCGCTTCGTAATTAAGCACCTTCTTCTTTATATGGTTTTGAATCGCTACGTCTTTCAGTTTCTTGACCCAATTTCTAATTGACATGCCCCGATCCTGTGGTTCGTGGGCAACATCGCCCAAATACTCTTGAATTTCCATTAACAATTTAGAAAGATCAGTTACTTCTTTTTTGAATCCTCAAAAAAGATTGATTTCTTGAGCAGCAAGTGAAGCGACTGAATTCAGTATTCCCTCAACAGGAAAAGTGTAGAGAACTTTTAGCACCTTTGCAGCATCATCATACTCGCGCAATAAATGAAGATTGGAAAGAGGGAAATGCAGAGAATGGAGAGATGGCCAAGGAAGGACATAAGAAGAGCAGATAATGTAACAACCTGTCCCAAATTTTAGGACTTTATTAATTTAAAAGTGTGAAATTACGAAATTACCCCTTAGAAGAGAGATTGTTGACTTTCTTTGACCGTCTCTTCGCAACGCATATGAGTTATTATTTTACCATATTCTCGAAGTTACTTGACAGTATGAACGCATAGACGCAAGTGGAACTGAACTTGGAGTTGCGACAAAGATTTTACAAATTACGGAGCGTGATTGGCGTTTTGGTAAATTCACGTTACGGGGAGATATTTTTCTGTGTTTTCTTTGGTGACTTTGAGTTACGTGCCAAGTGGGGCCCACACCACTCATCTTCCCACTCCCGTATCTCATCTCACTATCTCATCCTTTCATTTTCTCTCCAACTTTCTCGAACCTCTCTCTAACTTTATCTTTCCCCTCGGCTCCCTGTCTCTTCTTTTCTCTTCTTTGTAAACACAAAGGCAGCGACATCACACTAACTCCAACGATCTTGACGGAACTATCCATTTGCTATTAGGGAAAGTCTCTCAAACTTTCTCTGCACTTTCCGTGCACAGTAATTTTGAACCATCATCACTCGACTACTTTGGCAAGCTAGACCATCAGACCACCACATCACCTTGTTCTTCCCTATCTCTATTAAGCTTAGATCGTGAACATCAAACCCAGACGTGGAGCTTGCACCATACGGTGGCCATTGCCACTATTCATCATCTTCTTCGACAAGTTCTCGTCGATTCCACCAAGGTAATCCTCGGGAACACTCTATTTCCCTTCCTTTTTTATATTTATGGAAGATCTTAGGGTTTTGCACTTGTTTTGGTGGGGTTTGGAAACTGTAGGGACGAAGATGAGACTTTCCCTAGTTTTTTGGAAAAGCAAAATTATGGCCATCTGACCACTTTCAGACCAAATCCCGGCCAACACCAACCACGATTGGGCTTCCAATAAGTATAGATCGATTCCTTACATTTCTAGCTTCAATTTTGTTTTTGTATCCTCGAATTTGGTTAAGAAATGAGCTCGTTTGGAGCTCTGAAAGTTAGGTTTGCAAATTGTAAAAACAGCATGGTAGCGCATGGTTACCAGTGTAACCATCTTGTGGCGACCACGTGTGGCAGCGTGTGGAGGAACCTGAGGTCTCTCCTTAGGTTTCTTGACGTGCCGAATCTAAATCCACCTTCCGTGTCCAAAATTTGTCCATTTTAAAGTAGTTTCTTTATTATCTGTACTTTGTACGAAAACACGTTTATACATTAATACGTCATATACTTACATAAATGGTATCGTTTCTAGGCGAAATGCATTGTAAGGATCTTAGATGCCCATCATGTGGGTTCGACTCGACGACATGATTTGTGAGTGGGTATTTTCTTTGATATATACATATATTTGTTTAGTTTCCATATATACATGTAGTAATGAATTTTATATATGACTATCGTAATTAAATTAATGTTTATAGGAAATGACGTAACGATGAGAAGTAGGAAATCATTATAAATCTTACTGGATGCCTTAATTAAATTTATGGCTATGAATAAAATTATGTTGACTAGAATTATTGAATCATTGTGGCATGACTATATTTACGTTATCTGCTCATCGTTTGTTGCACCGGTGTTAGTACTTGCCTAGGCCAAGGCCAGTCTTTCACATGTATGTTCACATCACACCGTACGCTCACTTTGGATCTATTGTAGGTGTCAGTCCTGTCCTAGATTGCTATAGGCAATTAGGATTCGTTTGCGTTACACATAGCTCTAGTCTTCACGTGATTGAAGTACTAGAGCGTATATCATTGTTACAGCTAGTTCTATTCATGTCAGAATATCTCTGCATGAACTCGTGTGTCAGTATATGTCGATGAGCACTTGATACGATATGATATGTTCATTTATGCGAGAATATGTGATTACGGACGCCATGTGTTTATTTACGAAAGTTTGTGATGTATTGCATTCTTGAGATATTGCTGGTTCTGGTAAGTATTTTCATACTATACGTAGTATGTATATTTTGGAAACTATACTTGTTTTACGGCAATGAGTTATTATGTTTTCAAAAAGATTTTTACAAAGCTTTATTTGTAGGCCCACTCACTCTTGTTTTTCGCCCATCCAGGTTTTAATGGCTAAGCTTTTGTGTCGATGAGGATTTTTGACAAACTGTTGTTGTGGGAATACTATAGACGGTATAATTCCTCTTTTACTTTTACTGTACTTTACTTATACTTAGACATCACTTGTGAAATGGGTTCATTCCCGCTCATATGCGCACTCTTACATTTAGGTACTTTAGGTTTAAATTTATTCATATTTTCCACATCACTACACTTTATAGCTTCGTCACCTTCATGATATCGACCAACACAGCTCAATTCGGAGTCTAAATGGACATACCGGATCCTAATGTGTCAGATAAGTTGAATGAAAAGCTTAACAATAATTCAAGAAAATGTGGCATAAGAAGACGAGAGAAACATAACAGATGATAGGACCCCTTTTAATTGATGCCACTTTACACCTGTGAGTGTGAACTTTATGTTCAAGAATGGAGTGTGGTCCAGCAATAATGGATACATAGCATGGCAAAACCATATAAATATAAATCCAAAAATTAGATAGGTATGCGCTCTTTAGTGCTAGCTAGAGTCCTCAGAAAAAAAAAAAAAAAAAAAAAAAATCTCCAAGTAACTGTAGACGATCGGCATTCAGGGAACGTGTACAAATTCTGCACATGTCGTTAGGTTTACAAGTTGATCCCTGCGGTTACTTTCAGCATTATCTTGTTTCCAATTTGTTTGGATTTGCAAATCCTCCATCTTCTAAGATAGAGGAAAGTTTTTCAACACTGCTTTGCTTGGATTTACATATGAGATGACTTCTTGTCTTCATGGTGCAGGTCCTAATGAATCGTATAGCTATAAGACCCCACCCCGGATTAATCATGTAATTGGTGGCACCATTATGTTTGGCAATCAATAATGATGGGGTTGGAAAGAAAAGAAGGATCTATATACTCAAGGCAAGGGATCAATTGATCAAGCTCGATGAATATATTGATATAGTAACATGGAAGTCGAAAGAAATACCTAGACTAGAATACACAATTGCTAATTAATGTGCTTATTTTTTATATATTAGTGACATATCACATAATTTGCAAATGTAGTCTAAAAATTTGATTTACCTAGTATTACTCATACTTAGACAATTACTAAAAATACCCTAAAATCTGAAGATGTTGATTTAACATGATAAGAGACATAAATATCATGATAAATTAATGACAACAACTAGGGGTGGGCACGGACCAGGCCGGCCCAAAATTGGAGGGACCAGACTAGACCTGGTTGAAAATAAAACGGGACGAGACGGATCTTACTATTTCAAAATTTGAAACCGAACCTAACCCGGCCCATTTAAAACTGGCCGATTCCTACGGTCCAACTGGTACAATTTGTTTTTGTTTTCGTTTTTTTAATTTTCAGTATCCCAGTTGAATTTCCACTCGACGATTTCGGATTCGAGTTCGAAATCGAATTGTTGGAGAGAAAGAGGACGATGCTGGAGACAAATCAGAGAACCAGAAAGCGGGCATGAGCGAGAAATAGGGAGTGAAGTGGAGTGGCGAGTAAGATTCGAACTCAAATTGCTCCTCGTTTTTTGGGTTTCAAAAAATGAGAATCTGAAATTGGGTTTTGAAAGCACTATGAGTTTTTTTTTTTTTTTTGTTGGCTGGTGCAGAAGAATTGAGTGAGAGAAAGATTTGTGATGGAGGGTGATGAAAATGGTGGAGAAAAAGAAGGTGGATCCGCGTCCCTGTTTCCTCATACAGTGGATGGAATGGAGAAAAAGATGATCTGATGGTGGATGACCTTCTTTGCAGCAAAGGAAGATTAAATAAATGAAGAATCAAAACTAAATAAAGAAAGAAAACAAAGGTAGTACTAGTGTACTGCAATAAACAAATGTCGTACTAGGAAGAGGATCCTTTCCGGATTCGTCTTGTGGGAATCCTCCTAATGGTTAATCGTACATCATGTGATCAATTTACTTCATGTACTATTTATGTTTAATTTGAAATAAAAAAAAATTCAAATAATTTATGACCACACGATGCATGATGAATAATTAAGATGTGAGGATTTCTAAGATCTCCACTGTAACATCCCACATCGCCTAGGGGAGTGGATCCTGTAAGCCTTATATGTATATTCTCATCCTTACCTAGCATAAGGCCTTTTGGGAGCTCACTGGCTTCGGGTTCCATGGGAACTCCTAAGTAAAGCGAGTAGCGCATGAGAGCACTCCCAGGATGGGTGACCCATTGGGAAGTTCTCGTGTGAGTTCCCAGAAACAAAACCATGAAGGCGTGGTCGGGGCCCAAAGCAGACAATATCGTGCTACGGTGGTGAAGCGGGCCCGGGAAGTGATCCGTCCTGGGCTGGGATGTGACAATTTGGTATTAGAGCCAATCCCTAGTTGGATGTGTGCCGACGAGGACGTTGGGCCCCTAAGGGGGGTGGATTGTAACATCTCACATCGCCCAGGGGAGTGGATCCTGTAAGCCTTATATGTATATTCTCATCCTTACCTAGCACAAGGCTTTTTGGGAGCTCACTGGCTTCGGATTCTGTGGGAACTCCGAAGTTAAGCGAGTAGCGCATGAGAGCACTCCCAGGATGGGTGACTCATTGGGAAGTTCTCGTGTGAGTTCCTAGAAACAAAACCGTGAGGGCGTGGTCGGGGCCCAAAGCGGACAATATCGTGCTACTGTGGTGAAGCGGGCCCGGGAAGTGATCTGCCCCGGGTTAGGCTGTGACATCCACAATTTGAATGGATCCAAATCCGAAGTGTACTACCAAAGCAAACACAACATTCCAGAAAGCGATTAGGATTAGGAGAAACGGGTAAGGCTGGGGCCTCATTTCCTTACACTTTTGGATCCGTCCCGTCCCGTTAATTTCGTGAGCCCGCCCTACCCTGCCCCGTTTTTTTATTTTGCATTTTCAAACCCGTCCCGAATCGCATGGACTCGCCCAGCCCCGTGAGTCTAGGACCCGTTTGCCCACCCCTAAGAGCAACGAGAATTCTCCTTTATAGCAACATGAGCAAGTTCATAAGCCACAACTTTACCTACTCAAATCTTTTTCCTAACAACAAGTGAGAAGATTTGGCTGCAAAATGATGGAGAATCTGTGGCGCTATGGTGATGGTAGGGGTGTAAATCACTTAGGCTTTTTGGTTTGTGTAGTTTTTGTGTTAGGCCCCTTGTTGACTTCGGACAGTAGTTTTATATTCTGTGGTCTTGCTTTTCTCTTGATCTAACTTGTTGTGTCTGAACCTTTATGTATTTGTATTTTGTTGGAAATGAAATCTTTCCTTTGACGAAAAAAAAACAAGTGAGAAGGCGAATAACTTCCGGCGCATCCAAGGCCAACTTCCTTTTAATTGACACCAAAATCTCAGCGGTAGCGTGTGATTCAACGTGCTTGCATAATAAGGAGTAAGCCTGATTATGCCACGTATGCCTTTCTAAACTTTAACAACACCAACATTACGGGCTAATTTGGTATTATTGTGTTAATAAAAAAATTAAAAATAAAAAAAAAATTTGTTGTGCTGTGAGAATAAAAAGTTATAACATAAAATTGTTGAGTGTTTGGTAATTTTTTTTTGTAAAAGTGCTTTTAACAAAAAAAACAGTTTTTAAGTGTTTGATAAACTTTTATATAAATTGTTGTAGATATGTCCAATGGCAAAATAGATTAAATTAAATTGATTTAATGAAGCATTTAATGCAATGTTAGACTACAAAGTAGAATAATTAACAACAAAAGAAAAAGTAAATAAAAAATTAATTGCTTTACTTTTGAATCAGCATAAACTTTTTTCTCAAATAATTCGAGAAAAATGGATAAGAAGATCATAGAAACATATCAGATGATAAGACCCCATATAATTGATGCCACTTTACACCTGTGAAGTTAATTTGGTGAGACTGGGAGCAGGCAGATTGCCTGCTCTCCTGGATGTTCTTTTTATGGTTTTTTGTTTGTGCAGTCACGGTTAAGTCACGTTAATATTTTATACTTCTATTATTTTTTATCTTATTAACTTTATAAAAAATTAATATAAAATATTAACATAATTTAATCATGACCGTATAAAATAGAAAAAAATTAAAAAAATACCCAAACAAGTGATCAGACAATCTACCTCATTTTTCTACACCGATGGAGACATGACATGACAAAAAGGTAAAAGCAGAGAAATACCACATAAATATAAATCCATCTTATCAGCAAAGATTTCTTGGACAACTTTAGACAATAGTGGAGAACACTTTAATAAAGTAATAAGGATTGAATAGAAAATCAAAGATATTAAACAAATAATTTTAAAAATTATTATTAGCATTTCAAAATTTTTATTTTATATAATTAAAAAGAAAAATACACATGTGAGGAGTGTAGAATGATATTTTTAAAATGCTAATAACAATTATCTAATTTATCAGTACATCAAAAGTATATTCATGATACGAAGACTTAAATTAGATAGGTATGTGCTCTTTGGTGCTAACTAGAGTCATCGGATAAAAATCTATTGAACGAGTATACAAATTCTACATATGTCATGAGGCTTGCAAGTTGATCACTACAATCATTAGTACAAAAAATAATTTATGAGACAGAACTTTAGGATACGAAACATATTTCGCTACCTAGGAATTCTTTACAAGAAAACATTGGTACTTCAACGTGCCAAATGATCACGTCAAAACAAAAAATATTGTGCGCAAACTCTGAAAAATTCATGGTAAAATGACGATTTAGCGCCTTTTTTTTGTGCGGGTCACGGAAATACGTTGATATAGATTTTGAAAAAATGGACGTTTTCAATGTCCTGATCCCATATCCAAGGTCCATTTGTTGAAATTCGATACAATGGTTCAATTATTTAATTTTTGAGATAATTGTTCTCTTGTACAATTTTCGTAATTGACGACAATCTAACCGTTAGCTCGTCGTAAAATTTTGTCAGTAGGCTACTTATTGATTGCCAGACCATTGAGCCACACAGGCCTTCAGTAGGCTACTTGTTGACCGTAATGTCGCCTACTTTGACTGACGACTGACTTTTTTAGGCAACGTGCCTCAACTAATTCTGGTGTCTCGTGAATTTTTAGATTGTTGTTAAGGTTTGATAGAGCTTAGTTCATCAAGATGGCGTATCATTCCCGGTTAACGTGCGTCTCGATTTACGTGTAAGTAGCATTGCACCTCGTTTTGCGTGTTGGTCTTACTAAGTTTCCTAAGTGGGGTATTGTGTAATGTGTTAGGTTAATTGGAGCAATGTTGGTGAATATAGAAATGCGAAGGACCCAGTGTGTGACTTTAATATTATGTGATATGATTATTACCCGTGAAAACTTCCATGTTATGTACAAATGATTTTAAGGAAGTGTGTGCTTCTATGTTATGTTTACTATGTTATGTTTACTTGATAGTGTCATCTCAATTGTATCCATCCTATGCTTCAAATGACTATGAAATATGATGGCTAGTAGATGACCGTTACCCCAGTTCATGCGGTGATGTGGCATCAATTCGAAATCTGCACCATGTAGCAGTGGTACATGGATGGTCCCACTTGGTTAATCCGTATTGGGGGGACCATACTATTTAAGGGTTGCACCTAGTTAATCCGCATTGGAAGATCCTTGTTACCTAGGTATCGCCATATGTATTTAAGGGTGATCATGCATGGTTAATCCACATTGGGTGATCACTGCCTATCAATGTTCGTATGAGTGACTCTGCTTGGTTATTCCGCATTCGGAACAGTCACTAACTACATGGTTACTTGTTCTTAGGAGTGGTTCTGCTTGATTAATCCGCATTGGGGTTCCACATCCTATTCGGTTACCTATTGTAGGCTTCAGTCGAACAGTGTCTACGACATCCTATTCGATTACCTATTGTAGGCTTCAGTCGAACAGTGTCTCTATAGCCCTAGACTTAGTATGTTGTTACACATATAAAAGAAAAGATTGAATTCATGTGTGGCTCAATCTAGAAAAAGACAGTTAAATCAAACAGTTTACCTAATAGTGTATCTGAAGTGAAAGGATTCGGATGTGACTCATTCCTACTCGTAACAAAGAGATGCTATGATGAAATAGATACCGATCTCATTCCTACACGTGGATGTACTTATGATGGTGTGTCATTCCTAGACAATTTCAGGTCGTGTGATGACTAATAATTATCTCGAATGACGTGGGGTGAGATTTGAAATTAAAGAACCATTCTTACACTTATTTAATGAGGCTTATGATGGTTAAGTTACGAAATAATAAGTGGTGATTAGATCCTTGTGATCACTCGGAAAATGATGAAAGGCGAGTGGTGAGTCATAATTCGAAGAGAATAATGGAAAGATAATGACGGTGATCAGAACAACAGTTTGATCCAGTATTCAAAGGAAAGTCCTGTGTGGATGCAATGACTACTTTTACATTTAATCATTTGATTTTGCTTCTATTTACATATGTTCTATTATTGTCACTACACGAGTGTCGCAACTTATCTAAGTTTTTCTTTTCTTGGCGTGTCATTCCCATGGCGTAGAGTTGTTTTGTAGAGTAACATGAAGTAGTTAGAGATGAGAATTTCAAGTGTTGTAGATGATGTGGGTAGTACACTCTAGAGTAGGTATTATTACCCTTTATTGCTACATTATTTCCCTTGAAGGTCTGATGTATATTGTATGTATGAGTCACAGTGACCCTTACGTGCTATATGTTGTATTGCTATTGTGCTACCGTCACGTGTTGATTTTGGACGTAACTCGGGATCAGGGTGTGACAATGGTGATGGTTAAAGAAAAAAGAGAGATGATGGTGATGGGTGAAGAGATACGAGGGTATGGTGAGGGAGGGTGGGAGAGCGAGAGGGTGGGAAGACAAGCTCTTATAGTTTTTTTTGTCCTTATTATATTAAATTTTTGTCATTTTCATTAAATAAAGCTATTAAGTTATTTTTTTGTTAAGAAAAAGTTTGGAGAAATCCTTTTCATTAAAGCTTCCTTAATTAAAAA